AGTGTGTGTGTGTGTGTGTGTGTGTGTGTGTGTGTGTGTGTGTGTGTGTGTGTGTGTGTGTGTGTGTGTGTGTGTGTGTGTGTGTGTGTGTGTGTGTGTGTGTAGAGCGGCCCACACGGCGATCACTACGTAGATAATCGAAGCAGCGCATGTCGTGCAAGAGGGCGCTAATTGGTGCAACAATAATTAACATTTTCTAACTAACAATAATTAACATTTTCAAAAATAAAAATATAATTACGTTATTTTTAATAATATTAATATCTTTAACATTAGTTAAATAATTTATAATTACTACATAATATAATTTAACATAATTTCTAATTTTAAATATTAATATAAATAAAAAATAATAAAATTTGCAAAACAAAATTATCAAACAATTTTAAAAGTATCATGTCTCTTACAGATATCCCTTACAGACATAGTGTCTCTTACAGACATGGAGTCCTTACAGATATGATGTCTCTTACAGACATTATGACATATTGCTAGATGAAGAAGGACCAGCAATATCTTTATCTGCAGCATATAATGGTAGATTACTTTTTTTTTGTCGGGAGAAGTAGCATACAATGGATCTGACGATATTAAAGATAAATGTTTTTCATTAATCTTCATGATCAAAATAGATTCCCCTCTTGTGATTCCTCCTCAAAACTGATTTAAGTACGCAAATATCATTAACAATACTTGAAGAAAGTGAGCTTCGTTTCTTTGTTTTTATATCTGTTAAAAGTGAAAAAATTCTTTCAGAATCAGCATTTGAATTTGGAAGGGATCTGATGGCATTCAAAAGCAATGTTAAGTTGGGATATTTAATCACATTGATCTGACATTGCAAAATTTGCTTCCACATTTCACTGAAATTTAATTTTGACAAATTTAATTTTTCTGTATCACTAAACTTTAAGTATAATGTCGACCATTCTTTTTTAAAATTATCTTCATCAAAACCATCAATAAAAGAAACATCTTTGAATGATGTCTGTCAACATCAAATAAAGCTATTTGTGATTGAAATATTTTCAATTTAGATAAAAATCTGTCTGCAATTGGTAATCTTTTATGAGTTTCCTCAGCAGTAGTAATTAAAAATTCTAAACAATTGTTTTGAATATTTGTAATTGCATCGATATTTTCTTCGCTTATTTTATTTAGATATTCCTCGCATTTAGATATTCCTCCCCTAATCCATTCGGATTCTAAATTAATGTCTTCAAGAGATTTATGATTCTTACTTTCGGAAAAGTTTATTGTAAATAAATCTTTTAAAAGATCTGGTTTTAAAGAATGTTGAGAAATTTGGAATAGAAAATTCATATTTTTGGATGCAATAAATATATTCTTGTTTCCACTGCTTGAAAAAATGCATTAAATGTATTAAACAAATTTAAAATATGCTTTAAGAACAATAGATATGCTTTCATGTCTATGTTTTGCATTATATACAATAGATACTCTCCCGGCTCACTTTTTTCGCTTATAGACATGTCAATTAAAAAATATTTAATAGTATTCCAAGAAGAAAAAAATTCTTTTAACACACGAGTGACGAGAAAGCCAGCGTGTATTGGATAATCTTAAAATTTTATGACTCGATTCTTAAAAACATTCGGAAAACTCGTGAAAATTGGAAGATCGCTTTGAACTACTATTGATAAAAGGAATTTTTTTTTTAAATTCCTCACAAAATTCAGGTATTTTAGAACATGCAACATGTGCAGCCAATGCAACAGAATGATATGGATATAGAAGCGTCAATAAATTTTTAGACATTTATTCAATTCATTTCTTTTTTTAAATGATAAGTGTTTCCTTGTCATTACAGATGCATTGTCGCATAATAAGTCAATAATATTTGAAAATGGAATTTGCAGCTTCCACATTTCCATTTTAAAGACATTAAACAACTTTTCCGAACTACAATCTTTTGCATCAATTAATTTGACTAATTGCGAGTGAACATCTAAAGTTTCAGAATTGACATGTCGAACGAAAAATGTCATCCATTTTTCGTTCGAGATATCTGATATTTCATCAATAAAAACTAAAAATTTCGTGTTTTTAATATTTTCTCCTACACGATCAGTCTTCACAGGGCACAAAACATTCGAAATTATTTTCGTACATTTTGTGCGATCCATATTCATACTGTTTAATAGGATTTTTTTCTACATTCTGAAAAAAATTAAGAATTATTTGTGCAGTGTCAAGGGAAATTTTTGTCAGCAATCAATACAGCATATTGAATCTCTGCTGACTTTTTCCGCTCATCAAATGTCAAAAATGTTTCATCATCTTCATTAACATCATATGTATTAACAATACTTTCTTTATTATATTTATGTGTATGCATTGCTGAATTTGCATGTCGATAAATATTCGATAAACGAGCAGCAATATATTTTTCACAAATGCAGCAAAAAACTATAGTTTATATCATGTGGCTTCACACAACCATGGCTTAAGTTCTTCAATATCAAGCCATTGTTGTCTTACTTGTT